TTTCACATTCTGTCTCTCACAGTTGAAGTGTACCTCTGGTGCAAATTACTGACCTCTGTCATCATTTTAGGTGGGGGAACTTGCACAATCAGTGGCTGACTAAATACTTTTTTGCCCCACTGTATGTCTACAAGCAGGGAGAACGAGGGACAACAATACAAAATACATACATTATAATATTAGTCCATAACTGCTCAGGGTCCCTGGGTCGCTCAGACCCAGGACCCTGACAATATGTTAAAAGACGATCTAGAGCAGGGGTGTCAAACTCAATTGCACAGGGGGCCAAAACTCAAGGCACACTTTAGGTCACGGGCCAAACAAGATAAACATTTATTGAACACAATAAAACAATGTTTTTTAAACATAAATATGAATAAAAACAGACAGGAATATTATTCCAGATTAAATACACTTTAAAAAATCATCGATTTAATGTTCAATATTTCCTCTCCACAGATGAAGATGGCCAGCTGTGCAATGTCCACCATGTCTATACTTTCATCCACAGCAAGAGAGTATGTAATAAAGTTTTTGCTTCTTTCACACAACTGTGTTCTTAAATCAGTGGCCATCTCACAAACCTGATCAGAAATCTTATTTCTCCTCAGGCTCATATTTGCCAAAATCTGCATTTTGTCTGGACACAAGACGTAGCACAGCTTCATCATGCAGCTCTTCAGAGTGGTACCGGGCTGATTTGGCTCTTCTGCTACAATAAAACTTGCTTTCACAACAGCTTCACTTTGTGATTTTATTCTGGTGAAAAAAAATCTGCTGAAATGTCAGATTCTTCTTTAGCTCTTCTACTTTCTGTAGTTTCTGCTCTGCATTTAGGTTTTTCAGCTTATCCTGATGTTTTGTCTCGTAGTGCCGTCTTAAATTAAATTCCTTCATTACAGCCACATTAGCTCCACTAATAAGACACACGGGTTTACCAGCAATGTCTGTAAACATATATTCAGTCACCCACTGGCGCTGAAAGGCTCTGCTTTCAGAATCAACTTTTCTCTCAACCATTGTGAGCGGCTAGCTTCGCAATAACAGAAGTTTGACTTGATTGACAATGTTCAGTTAGCCTAGCGTTCAGCAAGGAGGCTGCAGCGCTGCATTATGGGATCTATAGTTTGTATATTATTAGCGCCTCATATCGCTGGGCCATGCATAACAATAATAGTACATCTACATAAAATGATCTCGCGGGCCATATACAAATGTACGCCGGCCGGATGTGGCCCGCGCGCCTTGACTTTGACACATGTGTCCTAGAGTATTTAAAAGCAGAATGGGAGGGAGAGCCTTCAGTTTTCAGGCCCCTCTTCTGTGGAACCAGCTTCCAGTTTGGATTCGGGAGATAGACACCATCTTTTACGATTCAAACTTTCCTTTTCACTAAAGCATCTAGTGTCGTTGCTAGTGGGTCAAGCCGTGTGGGGTTTAATAAGGACCCAAAACGCAGGTACTGTTGATGTGAGTGAGCTTTTATTGAAAGAGAGTGACATACAACCAAAAGTGAGGGTGGCGAGAAACTGAACTAAGAAATACTCTAAACTGAGAAAACTAAGAACTAACAACAAACTTGAACATGAGGGGAAGGAGAGCAGAGGTAACATGAAAAATGACCAGCAGGAAGAACAGCATGCAGGAAGAACAGCATGGAGGAACACAGACTGACCAGAAACAAGCAGGAGAAAACACAGGGCTTATATACACACAGGAGCAATCAGGGAATGAGAAGCAGGAGGGAGACACAGCTGGGGTTAATTATACACAACGAGATATGGGGAAGCAAAACTAGACTCACTGCACTGGGACTGGGATTATCAAAATAAAACAGGAAACGAGACAATTCACAGAGACACAGACTTGACACTGAGAGACAGACTCAAGAATACACACAAGAATATAACACATGGAACACAAGGAAGACCGTGACTTAAACTAAAAACCAGAACAACAAATGTCATCAAGAGAACAAAACCATGAATAACCAATAATCAGGAAATAGAACTTAAACAGAAAACACTGGGAAACACCCAGGACCATGACATATAGTTAGGGCTAGATCAGGTGACCCTGAATCCTCCCTTAGTTATGCTGCAATAGGTGTACGCTGCTGGGCGATTCCCATGATGCACTGGGTGCTTGCTCATATGCAAGTTGTCTGATTGTTAGGGTCTTCTCACCTGTGGCTGATTGTTGTTTATCTTACAATAATAAGTGCCTTGAGGTGACTGTTGATTTGGAGCTATATGAATTGAATTGAATATGAGTTTCAGCTTAAAGATATGCGTTGGATAGGAGGGACCTGCTCATAGCTCCACCTCACATGCTGTGAGACTCACACTGGTCATTATGTGGGGTCTGAGCTTCAGTTCAGCTTCAGAGTTTCATGAAACTTGGCTATACACTCTATGGAGTCTGCAGCCACAGTCTGCTCCACAACCTGACGGACTCCGCTCTCTAAAGCCCAATAATAACGCTTCATCTCCTCCAGCTCAGACTGCAATCGTTCCTTCACCTGCTGTTTCTCCTCCTGAGCCTCCTCCAGCTTCTTCTCATACTTTAATTCCACTGCTTTGATCTCCTCCTCCAGCTTCTTCTGGTAAAACTCTCTGAGCTCCGACTCTTTTTGTTTCAGCATCTCCTCCACCTGCAGGTAGGTGTAGTTGGAGTAAAACCTTCCCCCATTCTCGGCCACCATCTTGTCCACCTTCTCTAGCAGATCAAGGACCTGACCACGATCATTAGCGCTGAGATTGTTGAAGGCGTGGTATCTGTTTCCAGCCTTCTTCAGGACCTCCTGCAGTTCAGGTCCTGCTCCTTTTAACACTTTTTCAAAGTCTGTCTTAACCCTGTCTCCATGGGTGAAGAGGATCATGGTGTACCTCCAGGCACCCTCTCCAAAGATCTCCTCCACCTTCTTCACGGCATCTCGTTCCTCTGCTGAGAAGGGTCCCACCTTGATGACCAGCAGGATGGCATGGGGCCCCGGGGCCGACATGTTGATGCATTTGGAGATCTCCCTCTTTACGGCGTCTTCAGACAGAGAGGTGTCGAAGAGGCCGGGAGTGTCGACGATGATCAGCTCCCGTTTGAACACCTCCCCTCTCTTCTTACAGCACTCCCTGGTGACTAAAGAAAGAACATCAGACTAGCCACGAAGAAGGATGACAATCACAGACACAGATTTCTGCTGTAAAAACTCACCAGATTAGAATATTTTTATACATGTTCTAAGAACCCAAACCTTAACAGGTAACATATGATCACAGAAGCTCAGCTAAATATCAGCGCTGCATGTTTTTCACACTGGCTCCAAATTTCTGAATGATTTTGATTTCTTTCATCTAAAATCAGGATTGGTCCTCAATGATGTGGCAGATGATCATTTAACACCAGGTGGTGTGTGTGTGTGTGTGTGTGTGTGTGTACACACACACACACTGCCCCGGCGGGCGGTCTAACCATAAAGCTCGGGTCCTCTACCAGAGGCCTGGGAGCTTGAGGGTCCTGCGCAGTATCTTAGCTG